AACAGTCCTCTGTATTCTGACTCTGTCTTCAATTTTGCCTTTCTTACACAATTTCAGAGTATCTTGAAATGTACTTGGCTTTTTGGTCATTGTATGGGARTGTCACTTCCCTGTTATGAGTGGTTTTATAGAAGCCTGGAAGAGTTGGGGTTGGAAGGGACCTTGAAGACTGTCTGGTTCCCAACCTCCCCCCTGCCCTGGACAGGGACACAGCCCACTGGAATAATATGGTGGGCTGACCCTGGCTTGATGCCAGGCACTCACCAAAGCTGCTTTATTACTCCCTTCTGCAGCTGGATGGGGAGAGAAAATATAACAAAGAGTTCATGGGTTGAGAGAAATACCAAATACCATCACAGAAATACCAAATACCATCACAGGCAAAACAGACCCAGGGCCTCACCATCAGAGTAAGAATTTCTTCCTGATATCTAAACTAAACCTGTCCTTTGTCAGTTTAAAGCCGTTCCTCTTTGTGCTGTCCTTTCAAAAACTTTCTCTCCAGCTTTCTTGTAGCTTCCCTTGAGGGACTGGAAGGAGTTTGTGTTTCTGAAATGCTTGGTTTAAGGGTGTTATTGCATAACAGTAATAGCTGTTTGGAATAAGTTAGTCTTTGAGTATGCCTGGGATAACAAACATTTCCTAAAGACAAACCAGCCCCTTCATACCACTCATTTGTTGACAAACTTGGAGAAACTTCCATGTTACTATTGACAAACTGGCACACAAGTCAAAGGCTTGCTTCATTTCACACCATGTTCTGTGTTATTGCCAAGGCTAAATAAGACTCCTAGAGTTCACCTCCAGCCTCAAAAGTGTTGCCAGAGATTCAAAAAAATATGAGTTTTATATAGAAATGTTTATATTAGCGTTTTAGTTTTGGTATAAAGTCAGTGTGTCTATGTTGGCAATTTAGGAGACTTGTAGGAAGCCTGATTATAACATTCACTGTCTCCTAATAATCTTTCCATCACAATTTAACCTCTTCTGTAACTTATTTAATCTTTTTCCAGCTCTGAGAAGCATCTTGACTGGATCAAGCAAGAGTGGAGCTCCAGGAAGGACTGGTGGCCAGCCTTCCATTTTAGCCGTTACTTGKCAAAAAGGAATTGGCAGGAAAATGAAAGCCTTTCATATGAAAAAGCTCTGGTGGCTGGAATCCTCCTGGGAAAAGGTATAAATGTTTTTTTCTTTTCATTAGGTAGAACAGAAATAATGTCTGGTTCTAGCCCTAAAGACATGGGATGCAGCTGATCTGCTYCCTGGAAGAAATGCAGTTTCTTTCTTCTGGAAAAGATTCTTGTCTTTGGAGTTGAACATGAAAGGTGATAAATTTACAGTCAGACATATTTTTCATAACTGGTCTTATCCTGGTTCAGAATTCAGTTTTATCTGGCCTTGTTGAGCAGCCACAATACTATTTTTCTTGTTTGACCTTCAAACCATAACTTCAAAAATCCCCAACACCATCCTGAGGAATATTGTGAGGACTGCAGAGAGTTTGCTTGTTGGATGCCAGCCTAGGCAGTGTCTCAGCAATCAGCTGATCACTAAGGACYATGGGGATGTTATAATGCCAAGGAGGAGGGAGGGTCTTGCATGAAAACCATCAGCAATTTGGTAAGAAGATGAAAATCTTTATCTCTTTAGTAGCATTATTTGAAATGCTGCCAAAACCAAGTGGAGGATCAGGCCAAGAACTCTCAGCTGCTAAACTGAGAATGGGAATATGGTGTGGAGACAATTGCTTGTGCACTGGTTTGGACTTTCGGTTGACAGACAACTTCTTTGTTGTCAGCTTTTCTGTGACTTTATCTTCTGCACTTCATAAAACAATTTCTTATATTGGAAGCTGTTTGGATTTTTTTTTTTCTTCTTTCAGGAGCATCAGATAGCTCCCAGTTTTTATTACCAGATGCTAATAATATTCCAGTTCTAATTTTCTTGAATGAACTTTCAGTGCTTTTTGGGGTCAATGTGAGCTGCTATTTTCCTTATCAGGCATAATAAGTTAAATGTATGATATCAATGCTTCTTCACAGTCATGAATTTTTTTCTGATCTATTTGCAGAACAGAAATCAGGGAGAAATATTTTGCAGAATAACATACATTTATATACATGGAAAATGTTTTCTGAGTCAAATGAGGGTAGATTATTGAATTCTGCAATCTCTAATGTGCACGTCTTGGATTTTAATACCTTTACTGAAAAGTTTCTTGTATGTTTGCATATTAGTTAAATAATGGAAGCATTTTATATTTGCTTATATCATGGTATAACTTAGTGGTGTTGTTTTTTTTTCTTTCCTTAGATTGCAAGTACTTTAAATATGTATCACACCAAGGCTGCAAAGCTCAGCTAAAAAGGTTTCGGGGGCTGAAGAAGTTTGTGAACAGGCACAATCCTGTCTACCTGAGAATATCTGGTCCTTCAGATTCTTCTGTCCAGCCTTGATTGGAAAGTGTCCTTAAGGTTCTTCGTGTACTTTTTCCCCTCTATAAAATCAACTTCTGTGTTGGTGCTACTCCAGAACTTCAAGGCAGACCSTATTGACTCAGTACTAGACTTTTTTAAAATATATTTATGTAAAACCACTTTGGTTTGTATTTGTTTTATAATAAAATTAATAYAAATCAACTAATAATGTTGAAGTRTTTCTGTAATGTTACTCTTAYATTTGTGTGAAATGCAGACAGTGTTGATTTCAAATACATATTGAAAGAGCAGAGGCACAGAAATACTGAGAACTTCTCTACCTGCTGGAAGAGGCTTTTCTGTGGACATGCCCGTGAGTTGAAATATGCAATGTTGCTGTGTTTGGAAAGCAAATGTTGATGTGTTATCACAAACTAGAATTCCAGTTTGCTTGAAAACAACAACAAAATTGTTTCCAAATACTACTTCTGTTTCAATGCCAGATCTGTAGAATTCTAGAGGATGAACTTCAACCTACCTCTGGGTTTGAAATAAAGATGTCTTTTGTAGCAGAGTAGATTATGGATAAGTACAGCTGTGCTTTTAAAAACTCAGTGTTTATCTGGATTTTSGTCTGGGTTCATATGGGTCTTGTGAGAAGTGCCTTAAGATAATGTGTCTTGAACATTAAGTGAAATACTTGCTATAACTATGTTTTGTTGAAGGTAGTTACTCATCATTCCCAGCCCTGGTTTACTTCTGCCTCCCTAAGAATGCTGCTGCCTCATTTTGTAAATAGGGAGTTTTGCTGGAGATCTTCAACTGGGTTTTGATTGTTTTTGGTTTAGATTGTGGAGTTTCAAAATATTCTTCCYCAGCATCCCATGGGGTATTCACCACGGCTGGGCAGCAGCCACTCCTTAGGTGAGAGAGATGATCCAGACTCTGCATCCTGGGACTGGCAAAGATGGACTTTTGATGGGTTGGTGACTCTACTGTGATGATCCTGGGTGCATCCCAACAGGGTCTTATTTGGGCTTCCCCCTTCTGCTGTGTTCTTTGTGGGCATGCAGAAGAGCTTTTAGCACTAACCCAACACAAGTGGTATAATAGCTTAATGCTGGAAGCCCTGTTCCTTGGTGAGAGCTCCCATGCAATTTCCCTTTGTCCCTTCAGCTTCCTGTGGGAGATGCATGTGCCTTGGAGCAACTGAGACCCTCAATTGAGAAAGAAATGTGAAAGCATCAGAAGTTGGGGTGGAGGTAAGAAGAGTGAGGGAATGAAAAGGAGCTTGATGGCTGAAARTTCTGTTAATCCATTGTGCTTCCAGCTTTCTCCTGTTATCTCTGGAAGCAGGATTGCTGTGAGGGATTGTGTCTTCTCCAGGTGCTAGAGCTGCCATGCTGCAGTCAGCAAATAGTTACACAAAACCTGACTGCTGTTCTATCTCAAGCATTGCTCTTCCATGTCCTGCAAGAAACTTGCTGTTTTCTGGCACCAGAGTCCTTGCACCTGAGACAAACCTGCAGATCACAAGTYCTGWGTGAAATTTGTATGCAAATTACTMAGTGCATRCTGWGTTTTCATGCYTCTGTGGTACTTTGAATGTAGTAAYTGCTAGGAATGGTCTTCTTTGGCTTTGAATTCTGTGTTCTAGGTTTGTCCTCCGCATCCTATGGGCAAAGCTGCTGAGAGGATTTTTGCTTTTATCATGCATGAAAGAAATAGCTCCCATTTCACTTGGCTGTGGTCCAAGTTACCTTGTTCTTATGGAAGAGCAAAGTTAGGGATGTGACATCCTCCACCACAGGTGGAGTACCATGTGCACAAACACCTGCATTCCCAGCTGATGGGGAAGGGCTTGCTCATGCACTATTTGCCAGAGGGGGAAGAATGGGCAAAAGTCTCATTAATTCTAAATCAGTTTAATGGGATTGAGTCCACAAAAATCAATGGTCTTAAGTACAGGGTTACCACAGAAAGTCAGTTGACTTCTGGTTGTGCCTGGTGCCTTTAAACAAWTTTTTTTCCTTCACTCTTGCTGRATTTCTCCTMATTGTAACCMTSAATATAYACCTGGATTTGTGGGTAACAGCAAYAYGTGTAAAACTTGCAGTCCTGAAATTACTTATTCCTATGGTTAATTGCTGGCTTAACTTGGTTGTATTTTATGACCCCTGTTAAGTCTTTATGAAACCAGACCCAAGTTTGCTGCATTTTAAAAGCTGAGAAAAATGGTAGTTAGCAATTGAAAATTGTTCACTTGTGCCTTATAAAAGGAGAGAGATAATCAAGTTCTGTGTGTATGTGTGTATTGCATCTCATGTTCTTGTTATTCATATTTCAGAGTGAGGGATTTCTCAGCCAATTTAACCTAAAATGTAGGGATTAGATTTGTGAGTGCCTCCAGGGGCATGAGAAACCTCCAAAGGGGAGGGTTCAGCTGAGTGACATGTGAAATACCAAAGAGGCAGCCTGGAGGGTGTCTCTACTGCCAAGTAGTAAACTTCAGAGAGAAAGGAAGAGGGAATGTAAGCAAACCTCAGGGAATGCTGAGCTCTGGGGCTGGCAATTAAAACAGAGATGAATGAACCATGCTATAAAGAAGTCCACGGGTTCTATACATCTGACCTCAAGAAACCTTTACTGAAGAAAGTGAATGCTTGGCCACATGCTGGAAAGAGAAACAGCAGCTCTGGAGTTTCTTTTTCTTGCCCACATGTCTGTCTTTGCCTCTCCTTTTTGTGCCTAACAGGCAGTCTGCTGGGACATCCTCAGTGTCTGATTATGGGCTACCTTTCCAGCCCCCTTCATGCTTAGAGTTCTGCTCTGCCTATGAAAATTTTGGCTGCTGTGACCAGGAGAGAGAAAACGGCATTGCAGCAAAATACTGGAACATCATGGATTACCTTGATTCACAGGGGCAGAAACTGTGGAACATACATCAAATACATCCCGTGTCAGGTAGGGAAGAAAAATAATATCTGTACCCTACACTCTGGGCTGGTTTRGGGGTCAGTTGTGGTTCTGATAGCTCTGTGCTGCTGTGCAGAGAGGTGTGGGAGCAGGGGAAAGGTGGGCTCACAGGGAAATGGCACCTAATCTTCAGCAGGCATTTTACAAACTGCTTTGTGTGAGCTGCATCCCTGGAATCTGGCAATATATAGTGATATTTGCTAGCAATACGGATTTATGAAAGTACTGCCCAGTGAGGATGAAGATTTTTTCATAACAAAGGAGAGAACTGCAGATCAGTATTTATGCTCTACTTGCAGCTACAAGATGCTGGATTACAAGTTCTACAGAATCAAATGATGTGGGAATTACAGGCAGAGTGTTTGGATCTCTGGACTGCATTGAGGATGTTTTTTGATTGTGTTCCTGCTCAGGATGCCCCAAACGGTGTGCTTGTGGAAGTAAGAATTTCACAGGCAGTGGTTTTGCACAGCTACTGCAAGCTCCCRAGGCTGCAGTCACAGTGTTTTCATCAGTGCTGTCCCTCCATTGCCCACCTGGCTCCTGGAAAGTGTGCAGGGACAAAAGACCAAAGGCACTTTCCTGCCTAAGCTCCCCTGCATCCTTGGAATTAGAGGGCAGAACCCACCTGCCCTTTTTCTGTTAGTCATGCCAAGCTGCACTCACTGCATCCAAAAGGAGGCCACCAAAATGATTAGAGGGATGGAGAACCTCTCCTATGAGGAAAGGTTGAGAGATTTGGGATTGTTCAGSCTGAAAAAGAGRAGGCYTTGGGGTAACATAATTGCAGCCTTCCAGTACCTGAAGGGAGCCTACAAGAAAGATGGAGAGAGACCATTTACAAGGGCATGTGACRGGACAAGGGAGAATGATTTAGATCAGATATTATGAAGAGGGTGGTGAGGCACTGGGACAGGCTGACCACAGAAGTTGTGGACATCCCATCTCTGGAAGTGTTCAAGGTCAGGGTAGATGGACCTCTGGGCATGTGGTCTAGTGGAAGGTGTCCCTGCCCATGGCAGGAGGGTTGGARCTAGTTGGTGSTCCTTTCCAAMCCAAGCCACTYTATGGTCCTATGATTCTTTCCACTTGCAGAACCTGCACATTCCAGGAACCCTGGTTCAGGTGTGTGACTGGCRTGCTGTGAAACTRCCMGARTCAGGTTGGCTCATGGTTACACAGCGAACMAAAGTGGATTGAAAAAGCTCAGGAACAAAGCTTCCAGGTTGTCTTCTCTCTCCATCTGCTACTCTTGTCTTCTAAAGAGCAGGAACAGCCCCTGATCTGTTATAGAATTAACATCTGCACTAGGAGGTTTGAACTGTAAGAGAAGAAGATGCTATACACTTATTTTATCTGTCTTGTGGCCCTGCCCCCTGCTAAGAAAAAACCTGATGTTTACTTATCTTTTTTTTTTTTTTTTTTTCCTTTTAAATTCTTTTTAAGAAATCTCCTTGAGCTTGAGGACCTAGCTGCAAATCATAACAGTGGGCAGCTGCTCTTTGGTGTGGATGGCTTTTTGTATCTRTTCATAGGGGATGGAGGGAAAGCTGGAGACCCCTTTAGAAAATTTGGGAATGCTCAGAACAAGTAAGTAGGAGGGCAGGCAAAAGCTTTGAGCTTTTTCACCAGATACAAAGTTTGGGAAGGAAACAATGTGCAACAAAAGAGTGAGAATGTTTCCTGAAAGTGCTTGTGCATCTGCAAGTCTGTCCAATGTAATATTACAAAATTAAAATTTGACATGCTGAAAACCAAGTTGTTTAGGAAAAAGAGTTTTCTGACTTAAGTGAGTTGCAAGACATACCAGCACTGGTTTATTTCTTTTAGACAGATAAATTTTCCTTTGAAAATAGGGAYGGAGAAGACTAGAATTTTTGTGTTTTCAGCTGGGGTTTCTTTTTCTGCCTTCTCTRTAGGAGCACTTTGTTGGGGAAAGTGTTGAGGATTGATGTGGATGGGAGAAGCCCTGATGGAAAGCCTTACCGCATTCCTCCTGATAATCCATTAGTGTTGGATCCCAAAGCCCACCTGGAGGTGTATGCCTATGGGGTCAGGAATATGTGGTGTTGTGCRGTGGACAGAGGGGACCCTGTCACGAAAAAGGGAAGAGGGAGGATATTCTGTGGGGATGTGGGGCAGAACAGGTTTGAGGAAATCGACCTCATTGTTAAAGGAGGAAACTACGGCTGGAGAGCAAAGGAGGGATTTGAATGCTACGACACAAAGCTTTGCCACAATTCCTCCTTGGGTATGGAAGAAGTTTCTTACAGAAGATTGCTTTATCATATATGTATATTTAGTGGACTACAACACYGTTTTTTCAGTGAAGCTAAATAATCCAGTGTTGTGTGTTAAATGGAGATTGTTTACCTCTTAAGAGCAGAAGTCCCTTCTCCCCAGCCCTCCTGTGTTGGTATGAAATGATGCTCTGCTTATGCAGGGAATTCCCTGYCACACACTGCACCTGACAGAGTGTTTGAATTCCAAGCCTGTGTCTTTTGTAGACAGATTTCCCCAGTAAAGTCAGGAAGACAATGGATTTCATTGCAGTAGAAAGTGATACTGTATTTTCTTCAGAAAATCTGAGCCATGACTGTGGTTAAGAAGTGGATCAGGCTGATGCTGAGACCCTGAAACAAACCCTGTGGCAGAGGCAGCATCTCCCAACAAGCAAGGGGCTGTTTTTCTCCATTAAGCAGTTATCCCTGCTAAAGTCTGTTTTTACAATAATAAGCACACTTATGTAATTTTTTCCCCTCCCAAGCTTTCAGATCTTGCTAAAAACATTAAATGTATTTCAAATCACTCTGTAAAATGGATACAGTAAAAATGTGTCTGTGCTGTTGTAGAGCTCTTGGACACCAGCAAAACGAAGAAAACAAGTTAGGTTTTCTTGAGACATTAAATCCAAAGCTAGTTACCTTGAGCTCTATAGCAAGGTGATGGGAATAGAACTTGGGTATTTTACTGCTTGAGATTTCTGCCTTTAGCAGCTTGCAATCCGCCAGGAAGTTGTGGCAGATTAACTGCGGCTGACCAAAACATAATCTTTTCAACTTAAAAAATACATGTATTTGTGAGCTTGTATAAACATCAAAAGCTTGAGCASAGTCTGTTTCTCAAACAATATCCCTGTAGTCTCTATAACACTCCTTAATGTGTCACAAAGACCTCATGCTTTGGAAGGTTTGTGTCCAGAGGAGGGTCAGTTCTAGAGGAGGACCAGGCACTTATTCTCTTGACTCTTAGGAATGTATTCCTGCATTTTCCGGTTCCCCTTGTCTGCCTTAGCCCGGGTGGGGCTGTGTCAGCCCTGCCCTGTTCTGTTTGCACTTTGCAGGAGCTCCCAGGGAGTGCAGAGCTCCTGTGGAGCATGAGTAGGCTCGGGAGCACAATCCTGATGCCTCCAGTTCCGGGAGTGACTCTGGTCTCCTCCTGAACCTTTCTCCTTTGCATTTTACCGCTGTTTATAGGATTCTTCCATTTCTGTCTCTCTGGGATAGCTGGTTTCTCCTCCAGGCACAGCCCCGGTCAGTCCATCCAGCATTCCCTGCTAGGAAGCGCGCTGGCATGGACAGCAAGCCACACAAACTCCGGCTTTCAAAACATTGCCAGGGCCACTGCCGTGTGCCTGATGGCGACTCAAACTTCCCGAGGAACCTGCCAGCCAGGAAAGCTGATGGCAGCTCTGCCGTTTGTCCCCACTTCAGCTTGCCTCTCTAGCAGTACTCTTGGAGACAGCAGGATGGCAGCAAATTCCTTCTATCCTGAGCAGAGTGAACTAGTAAGAAAGTAATTTGAAAATTAGAGAGGAGAGAGACAGAGGGAAAACAACTCCACACAACCCACCAAAACTCACCCCAAGCAATGCCAACAGCCCTGCTTTATTAATCCTTTCTTTAAAAATTGAAATGGTATGGAGGAARTACTTGGCTCTTGCCACTGTCTGAAGGAGAATGCGAATCACAAGAAAATGTGATGCCTTAGGCCATGCTTTGCTTTGCTTGCTGCTCTCAAGCATGCCAAATTGGAAGAACCTGTTTTTATTTGTCCTGTGGCAGTTCCCTTGGTGGGTAACAGAAAACCTCTCTTCCTGTCACTTAACGTGCAACATCTTTACCTCAGGAAAATGTGYTTGGGGTTTTTTTTTTGGTGCTTTTGTCCTGTGGGAAGCTGTTAGGGGACAGCAGGAAAGGAACACAGACACATTTCTTTGTAGTTATCGCTCCCTCCCTTTCTGTCTGTTCCTTTCCTTTGTCACCCTTCTAGCTGCAGCACCATGTTGTATCCAAAGAAAGTCCCAGTGAAGGTCATGTTCACCAGCTGCTTTTGGGACAGGGATTTTAGGGCTTGCCAGCCCTTTGTCAGGCTTTTGCATTCCACCTGTGTTGCACTGCAGGTGTCTGAAGTGCTTTCATGCCTCTTCCACCGGAGGCAAATGACAGCAAGGGATTTATGTGTCCCTATGGAATAAATAAACTTCCCTAACAATCTCTCGACGTCTGCTTTTGGCTTTCTGTTTTCCAAGGAGAGCTCCACCAGGGAAGTGTAAACACAAGCCTGTTCCAGTGAAAACAAAGAACAAGCGGATATCATTTGTTCCACGTGTGAGTAAGTTGTCAGACTTTGATTTTAATGAGAAGCAAAACATTTTCGTAAACTTACAGGCTTAAACTTTGCTGTGATTTGAAATCTTTGGCAGTCTTAAAAACTAAAGCACAGCATGCAGCGATCTTGAAGTTTGGTTATCACCTCTAATGTGTGCTTCTGCTGTCTGCTTGATGCCGTGCCTTTGCTTAACCCCAGCCTCTGATTTTATTTTTCCCTAAGTTTTACCAAGTAATAGTGTAAATAGGCATCACAAGGGAAYTGGTGACTTTGATTTAGGCATTGGATGAGGTCTGGGAAATTCTGAGTGCCTGTCCCTGGCTCTGAGACAAGCTCCTCGAATCAAATAATCCTTCCTCTCTACATCTGGGTGGAGTGAATCTTCCTTTTTCCTAGCTATCTTCTGTCTTCAAGTCCCATGCAGCTAGGGCAGGAGTTATATCTTAAGTAGAAACGGTGTTCAGCAAGTTGAGGTAATCTTGTCTACGCATTCCAGATATCAGTGTATTATGAAAATATTGTTAAGTTTGCTAGAGAAGTGTGCAAGGTTTCATCATATTCTGTCTGGAATTTCCTTAAATATAATATATATAGTTTTCCTTAAATACACATTCATAATTTCTGAGATTAATAATTTTATTTCCAAGAAAACCAAGTGTCTTTTGATGGAAGAAGAGAAKTTTATAGTGTGCGCTTTTTCTTTCATAATTTCAGCTGTTTTTTTCGACTGTAGCTCTAATAAGCGTTTCTATCAGTCATATCCCTGAATTAGCCTTTTGCCTCAAAGCAGGGATGCTGAACCATATTAATTACTTTCCTCAGAGACTGTCCTTGAGCTGCTAAATGAACCTTCAACAACCAAGCATCCAAAAAAATCTTCTGTCCCAAGAGTTTCTTCTAAGAAAGCAAGAAAGACCCCATTCACCAAAATAAAAGCATCAAGGGCAAAGCCAGCTCCATCTGGTAAAGGCAGACAGAGAATCAAAACTGAGGCTAAACCTCACAAGAGAAAGAAGGTTGCACACCACTCCAGAATCATACCAGCACCAAAAAAGAGCTCCCACCTAGCCAGAACCAAGAAGGTTCTTCCAAAGAAAGCAGCACTAGCTAAGGGAAAATTGGAGAAGAGGAGGAAGAAGCTGCTTTTGAAGCTCAGTGATGTCCCAGAAAAYGCAAGTCATGTATGAGATGGTGAAACAGAAGTGTTGAATAGTGACAAAATAAAAGAGAATTCAGCTGACTTGCTATGGGGTGCTCCCAGGCATGCCCTCATTAATGAAAGCATTAGCAATCTCTACATATGTTCTATTAAACATTAACAGTGCCAGCCTCCTAATATTGACTTTGCAAATCCTGCTGTGATGTCCTTTTCTGACATAAGTGGTTGTGAGAGTCTGTGGTGGACATTCACTGCTAAGATTTGGCTGTGTATGACTGTCTAATAAAATCAAGTGCCTCTAAATTTCAGGACCTTTATCTTTTATTGAAGAATATAGAATAGACATGTAAATTACCTCACTTTTTTTTTGTCCTTTAGCTGAACTGCAGTGAGAAGTGTATTTCAAGAATAGTTGTTTTYCAGACAATAAAATTAGATATGTTTTTTAAAAGGAGGGCCACTAAGATGCTCAGAAGGCTGAGCGCCTCTCCTCTGAAGACTGACTGAGACAATTGGGGCTGTTCAGACTGGAAAAGAGAAGGCTCCAGGGAGACCTTTCAGCAGCCTGCTAGTGCCTGAAAGGGGCCCCGAGGAACGCTGGAGAGGGAGCTCTAACAAGGGCAGGTGGTGACAGAACAAGGGGGAAGAGCTTCAGACTGACAGACAGGAGGTTTAGATTAAATATTAGGAAGAAATTCTTCATTGTAAGGGTGGTGAGGCACTGGCACAGGTTGCCCAGAGCAGATGTGGATGCCCCAYTCCTTGCAGTGTTCAAGGCCAGGTTGGATGGGGCTCTGAGCAGCCTGGGATAGTGGAAGGTGTCCCTGTCCATGGCACAGGGTTGGTATGTGATCGTTTTTAAAGCCCCTTCCAGCCCACGTAATTCTATGAATATTTTTTCAAGGTACAGATCACCTGCACGTTCTATAGGATCCGGTAAGGGCTGGGAATGTTCAGCAAATCTGAAACACAGAACCAAAGCACCAGAAACCCCCGCTAAAGGTGAGCCATGGGCCGGAACCATCCTGTGGCTCAGACTCCGCGCGGTGGAAGCGGGGCCGTAACACCACTCGATGTTCAGATCCAGGGAAATAATTTATTCGGGAAGCAGAGCCGAGGCCGCTGAGCCCGTGACGGAGCTCGGCAGCCCCGACGCCACGGGTATCTCCCACCTCCGCCCTCTGGAGGCGCCGTGCCGGGATGAAAAAGCAGCGACCCCCGCCGCCCGCTCTCCCCAAAACCCCCCGGCGCGGTCGGATGAAGAAACCACAATGAAAAAAGCAGGAAAAATCCCGGCAGGCCCCAGCGAGGATCGAACTCGCGACCCCTGGTTTACAAGACCAGTGCTCTAACCACTGAGCTATGGAGCCACCTATCAGTTCCAGCCCTGCCGACAGCTGCTGGCCCTCAGCATGGCCGCCTCCCCGGCGCGWCCCGGCGGGTCCCTGTCCTGCTSCCGGGGCTGTGYCCCCTCTGTGGGCGCTGCACCCCCTCTGTGGGCGCTGCACCTGCGGCACCCCGCGGCTCAGCTGGGCCTCTGGAGCTTCCCGCCTCCCTCCCGGGAAAAGCTGCCCTTGGCGGGGTAGGGAACGCAGCTCCGGGCCCACCCTCGCCTGAGGGGACGGGGGGTCCTTCCCGATTCCATGAGGGGACGGGCGCCACTGCGGCGGAGTGAGGGGGGAGCGCCTGGGAGAGAAAAGTTTCGGTGGCGTGCGGGGAGATGGCTCCCAGGAGGRATTCCTGATTCTTCCAGCCATCCAGCAGAACCCCCGCGTGCTGCGAGGGAGGGAGCAGTCGCTGCCTGGGTCCAGGTTTTGGGAGGTAAGGCTGCGCAACACTTGGTTTGTGCAGGCTGGGGAGAGAGTCAGTACAAGTAGATGATGATCAGCTCAGTGTTGTTATTCTCCTCAGGTTTCGTGAAATCACTGTTGCACAAAAACTGGTTTAACTCACACAGATAARCCACAGTCTCGTTTGACTGGAGTATGAACCCAACAGCCAGACAGGCAGTGTGGGGCCTTTATTTCTTKATTTTTACTGAGCAAGGAAGTTTGAAAGCATTTGAGGATTTTTCTCCTTTTCTTTGCATGAAAGAACCAGTCTRTCCATGGTGCATGAAAGCTTAGGTGAAGGTGAGAAGGTGAGCTGTGAAGAGGAAATGGAGAGACACTGCTGTGCAGTAATAAATCCAAGCAGTTCTGCTGTACACCAGAATCACATTCTAGAAAAGCAGATGTGATTTGCTGGGTGCGAGCCTCAAGATGCATGTGACCAAAAGTAAAGCTCCTTGAAATGAGAATAGACAGAAAAAGCTGCATTAAGAAACTAAAGACGTTTCATCCATCCCACACTCCACAAATCATGAACTAGGTCAACTTCCTTTTTTTTTTCCCCTTTAGTTTTATTTCACCTTCTCTTTAAATGGATATGATCTCTGTGGACAAACTAGATCAGTTCTGGTGAACTCTGTCTTGTTGTTTATGTAAGACACTAAAATTACTTTGAAATATCTGCTCTTGACCTCTAATGTGGCAGCTGATAAATTCGTGAAGTTTCACATTTCTWTGGATGCTTTTTTTCCCTTTCCTTTGAAGATAGTGACCCTTTAGAGGGAGTATAGCTCTTCCAAAGAGAGCTAAAATGTCTGTGGTGAGTGTTCTGCTAATGCCTCAGGGAGCTGAAGTATAAGCATAGCTTGTTTTRTAACCTTCAAGTAGGCAGGAGCAGAATTGTCTTACACTTTTCATGCTGTAAGACAAGACTTCCTTCATCAGCCTAGCACMGCCGAGCAGCAGGGTAAGATGTATTCTGAGAACAGAACAGCGTTGAAATAAGTTTTCTGTGATAACATGGCTCCCTGCCACTATTGGGCTTTTAAACTGAGGTGCAAATCTGTAACTGTTGTGACTGCCCYGCTTCCAGATGCCTTTTGCTGCCTGCTGAGAGCTCCCTGCAAGGTGGGCTGCACTTCAAGGTCTGTGTCGCAGARTGTTTGTCAGTCACACAGCCTGGGTGGGAGTCAGGAGATGTGATGGTGGTACCACGCTATCAGCAAGCCCCCTGACTTCTCTTTGTAATGAAAATGAGGAAATGAGACACTTCTGGGATGTAATTCATCTCACCTGAAGGTAAAACCTCTACAAAAAGTCTTTGGAGTCACAGACTGTTTCTCAGCTGGCTGTGAAGGAAGTCGATGCAGCCTTCACAGCAGCTTCCCCAGCTTCTGTTAAAAATGGTAATTGTTAGTGGAAATATCACAGCAGGTTATTTCTTCTGATTTTTTTWARTCTAGTTCTAGCTCATGTTTTGTTTCCAATATGTCAGAGACAAGTGGATCGTTTCTTTGTAACATGAAAAACAAGGATTTTTACAAGGACTGGTTGGGTCAAAACTGCAGAACCACTTCYGAAGAAGATTCTGTGATTCTTTCTGCAGCTAGACCCACGCAGATGTGAGAATGTAGCATGTAGGCAATAAAATGCCTGTCTAGGCTGCCGTTCATAGCTGTTGAAAGCCACTAGGTGGAACCTAAGGACTGCATCAGAAGATTACAGAAATAYTTTTAACAGACTTCAAATGCTGAAGAGTGAATTTTAACCACACAGGCTTTTAAGAAAGATCTGTAGGACGATTGACCTTTAAAGGTGTGCCAGACATCTAAAGATGCACGTTTATGCTCTCTAAAATTTATTCTCTAGGCCTAGACCAAGCATCAAGCTAGAAAATAGGGTGGTTAGTGTAAGAATAGGTGTAGTCTTGCTCAGTCTGGACCAAGGCTTTATTAAAACACGATTTATTTATTCCTGATTAGCTCCCTGACTGTCGCCAACAGCCCCACAGGACAAGTCTGTGTTTAACCACGTGTAAAGCTGGTGTCAGCCCACAGATGTCACCTGTGCTGCTGTGAGTTTATGTCCATYTTGTTAAACACAGTGAGCTAATCTCATGCATATTCCATGACCTTATTGYCATATCTTGCATTCAGATGCTAACAGGAGAAACCAAAGAAATGACTCTTCAGACAGCTGGTCTGTAAATTATCCCTGGAAATTCTCTTAGGTTGCTGTATTCACTTTTCCAAACTCCTTTGCCTGGCTTGCCACCCTATTCCCTGCTGGATTCATTTTCACCGGTGTTCCGTGGGATTTGGTTCTTTGTTGCACAAAGCAATTTTGGGCTGCAATAGTATGAAATAAATGTCAGCAAATGTTTCCTCTGCAGACACTGTGTGTCTCCTAACAGGTTGTCAGGCTCTCCCATCTTTGTCCTCCACACATCTGCCTCTCTGTGTCCCAGGGGAAGCTTGGTGCACCTGGGATTATCTCAGCACAGGTRCAGATCAGCAAAACTGGCACACTTGCCTTTCCTTGTTGACCTCTAGGAGAAAGGAATTGCAGCACAGCTTTGGTTTTCTTGTGAAATGGGATGTTCTGTAGGTTTTAATTGTTTGACAGGTTCAGCACTGTTGGTTTTCTTTCTTAAAGAAATTGTAGTAACCTAAAGGTGTCTGATTTTAGTGTAATTAATTTTAATTGGCAAGTGCTGGTGGATTACTTTGTCTTGTGCAAATGCAMGGGTTTTTATTTTGAGTAAAATTTTGAGTTGTCAAAATCAGGGGAACACTGCTTGCTGATTTCGGGTGGCTTTTGGAGGCAGTCCTTGGGATATTTTAGGCATGTAATGATCTCAACATTTGTTTGAGGCCTGCCTTCTCTTCTGAATGTGGAGCTTTCCAGGCTTTACTGAGATATCTGTCTGAGATTTCTCATGTCTCAGAAATRTCCAGTGGTTTTGCAGTTTTGACCCAATCAATGCTTGTGAAAATCATTGCTCTTCACATTCCATGGGAATGATCCACTTGTCTGAAACATTGAATACAAAACATGAGCTAGAACTAGATAAAAAAAAATCAGAAGAAATAACTTTCTGTGAATTTCCACTAAACAAGTACCATTTTTAACAGAAGCTGGGGAAATTGCTGTGAAGGCTCTTTCCAGGATTTAGCTTGTGCACTGCATGCATCCCTAC